GATTCCTTGGAGGATTTCTTGTTCTTCTCTGATTTGTTCTTGTTGCCATTCCCATTTTTCTTTTGTTTTGGTAATTTAAAAGTTGGGATGCAACACGAGGACTTCCCATGAGGTCATCCATCCTAGTATTGCTCTCTCCAATGTTTTCAAACCGTTGTTGACTCAGACGGTTAGATTGTTCGGCCCAAAAACTATCTAGACAACCGGTTCCGTTTCACCCTTAACTTGTTCTCGGGTCAGAGAACTGCTGACCCAGGCAGTTGAAACATCGACCCGTTCAACTTGGGCGGCGGTTTGCATTTTTATAGGATGAAAGAGATCGAGAAATGGGGAGAGACTAAGACTCAAATATGAGATTAGATCCCAGGAACAAATATATATATGATCTCATATATATATATATATATATATACAAAGAGAGAGAGAGAGAAGAAATATTGCAGATATGAGATGTGAGATCTCAGTTCTTAGATTTCATATTTGAGATCTTAGAAAGATCCGAAGTTGCCGGCGCCGTTGCGTTTTTTGTAGACGCCGCTGCCATCATCGCCATTGTCGCTGGTGAACATAGGATGCTCCTCCTCCCCTTCCTCCTTCTTCCTTCCTCCTCCTCCTCCTTCCCTCCTTCCTTCATTAAGGATATAAAGCCGTAATTTTTCAATCTAATCAAACCACTTGAACCGTTTGACTCGGATGGTCGAACTACTCACTCGAAAATTGATGGCCAATGCGATTTCGTTTCCGGGTCAGTTTTTAAAACCTTGACTATTTCCCAATCACGCTTAAACTTTGAAGTTCTAATGGGATCCAATGCATTAGTGCTGATATGATCACACTCTCCATCCTAGTACTACTCTTGCCATTCTCATTTTTCTTTCATTTGAAAAAATTGCAACAAATGCCCATGAAGCAACAACAAGTAGACAGACATGTGGGGATGTTAGGGGTCGGTTCTACCCCACCGACCAAATTGAACCAAACTGATTATTTCAGTTCTGGTTGTGTGATTTAGTCCTGATTAATAATTCGGACGATTTTGATTCTTACTTGTTTTTAACTGATTCAGATCTGAACTAGTTATCTTCTTAATAATATATAAACGTTTCCTAATTTTCTTGTAATTTTATTAATTTTGTCAAATAAATTTGAGAGAATATATAATATAATTTTGATTAAAACACTTAATTTATTAATATACAAATAATTTACTATTTTACTTTCATTTTTGTTAAGGTTATATTATCAACAATCAAATTTTAAGTTGTTATTTACATGAATAATAATTATAATTGTTAGTATAATCAAGGTCACATGATTATCCCAATTAATAATTTGGATGTTTTGGGTCTATGATTTTGTCCTGATTAATAATTGATTTGGCACTAGTAAAGACTGTCCCGAATGAGACCCAATGATAAGCCTAGAGACATGTTAAAATGGCTCATTGGGCCATGACTTGCCACAATATAGATTTGATTTGAGGACTAAACCGAGCCCTAAAGATCTCCTTGAGAGTTTGGGACCGCTAGAGTTGAGTTAGCTACTCCCATGTTTCACTCGTAATTTTGTAGAGGTAAAACTTCAGCAGACCCTGCCCGAGCCCAAATTGACCCATCCCAAAATTATAGACAGGCTGGAATTGGGCTCAAGAAAGTCGGGCATTTTTTATTTTTTGGGCCAGGTCGGGGCCTAGTTCTTAGGTTGCCCAAACTCGGTTCAAGTCCAATCCAATTACACACATACATACATACATACATACATACATACATACATACATACATACATACATACATACATACATACATACATACACACATAGGGGTGAGCAAAAAAATCGAAAAACCAAGCCAACCGAAATCGAATTGAAAAATTGGTTAACCAAACTGATCGATTGGATTTCAGTTCGGTGTTTTTAAAAAATTGAAGTTACCGGTTCGGTTTCAGTTAACCAATATAGAAAACCGATGGTTAACTGAACCGACCGATATACATATATTTCTATATATTTTATATACATTTATGTATATTATATATATTTTATTTTATTTATATATTTCAAATTAATAAATATGCATTATATATAAATATATATTTATAAGTTTTATCATATATTTATTATATACTTTTATAATATATATTATAAAAATTAAAAAATTGAAAAACCGACAAACTAAACCAATGGTTAACCAAACCGGTCAACCGATTAACCGACTCACTTTGGTTAGGTTTCGTTACCAGTTTTCCAAAAACCGGTAGTACCGGTTCGGTTAACCGAACCGTGATATATATATATATATATGTATGTATACTTTTAGAATGGGTTCATTAATCAACCCGAGCCCGGCTTGGACCCAAGCCCAACCCAAATGCATCAAAGGTCCGGCCGGGTTCAGGCCTTAAGCCCAAATTTTAGGGCCGGGCCTGGGTTGACCATAAACCCGGCCCAACCCACTAACGTGCACCCCAAATTTTAGGGTCTAGACTCTCAATTTGATGGGCCTTCATTCAGTCTCTTGGGGAGCAATCTACCCAACGTTCTCATTCAGTTATTTTCGTTCCTGGAAATAGGGAAGTTAACGTTGGGTGCTGCTGTTATAAATATTGCTGCTGTTATAAATATTGCTCTCAGCCATATGAAGATGCAAGAAAAATACATTGCATTTTGGATGGACTAAAAGCCTCTTGTGCGGGTCTATTCAGATTAAGCAGTCTCCAGTTGTCTCTTGCTTCTGTGAGCGTATGTCTCAGGATCATAGAGATTCCTGCCATCGAAGATTACAGGTATTTGATCATGGTCCTTCATCATCAACGTTAAGACCTTGAAAGCTTCTGTGGGTGGAGTGGTGGATACTACTGCTGCTCCAAAGAGGCTTCCGAGGCCTTAACACTGATGAAACCTGCTGCATGCATGGGTCATCTTCTTGCCCACTTCACACTTGCTTATTCCAAAAATTGATAACAATCCAACTCCAGAACGCATCCTTTTAACTTATCGTTTTAAGTTAAATAATAAACTGTTTACTGCATTCTTGACTTCTTGTTTCTTGATCCAGAGTAGTAGTAGGACTCAACCAACCAAAGTCCTTCCTTACCTATTAAAACTCTGCTTAATTTGCTTTACGGCAGGGTATGGCTGTCTAAATTCAAACAGCCTAGGCTGTCAAGAAAGCTCTCCCTATATGGCATGTTAGTTCACACAGACTCTTTGTACGCATTGTTGGGCAAACTGTGTCAGGAAGGAAGCATATGGAGAGCAATGTTGACAGCCCAAACTATATTTAACGTGGATAGCCAAAGCTTTCTCTATATGATCCACACATTCAGAAGTCCTCTTCCCACTATTTTTTTTCATTTGTCGATTGATTAGGTTTGGGCCATATGACCCACATGGGGAAGCAACACATGATACCAACCCTAGCTCAATATGGATTGGAGGTAATTGGTCCAAAATGACGACTCTATTAATTTGGCTTGTTGTGTCTAACCCATTAAGGATGCAATTTGGGTCGGGTTGGATTGTTTATTTTATTTTATTTTTATTTTTAATGAGTATGCTAATATTAACCTCCCAAATATCATTTTCGCTTATATTTAAATTAATTTACATTATTAAGAGTTTGTAGAAGACTTTAAACCTGGTTTGAAGGGGGTTTGCGTGGGTATGGTCAGTCGGTTTGTGCCATGGTTGCAACTCAACTATTATCGGACCTAAAAAATTGGACTTAGAACTGAAAATCTGGAACTTGGATAAATGGAGCAATCTACTTCTTCTTGTTTTCCTTTGAGAGGCGTGTCCATCAACATCTTGTGTAAGAGAAGAATAGTTGATAATTGATACTAAAAGAGATAAATACAGTCTCTGCTAAGTCGATCAAAGTATTGGCTAGAGAAAAAAAAAAAAAAAAACCTTGAACTGCAAAGGAGAAAGATGACTCATTAAGTGGCAATGGTTTCAGGAGGTATAGAGATTTGTTTATTTCATTGTTAGTTGACCATGTTTAGTAGATTGATTCAATGGAGAATCAAACCTACTCTTTTATTGATCCTACTGTCACTCGTGTTTATGAACAATGTGGAATTTTGATTTGAAATTCTTACTTGGTTCTGTGCAAATTATGAAATTTTATCTATCTCTAATTAATCCAAATCTTACTGAGAACTAAAGAGGGGCTTTAAGTCCTTGTCTACCAGAGACTGTTACTGACCAGAGCTTGTCTCTTCTATAATTCAGGTATCATGGCTATTGACCCTCAATAAGATTTTTACTGAAAAATTCTGATAGGAGTTAGGTGACAAGCTAGTGATCTAGCAGATTTCTAGGCCAGTGGTATTGTGAGGAATTCGTTGTATTAGGGCTTGACCTTTTCGCAATATTGTGACTTAAAAGTTGTTGGTCAAGGTTTAATGAGCATCTGTATTAGCTATTCATGGATATTAGAGGATACAATCCATCTGAAAGAAAGGTAAAGTTTCAAAATTGTTGGTTTAATTTGATGATTATTTAGAACTTCTAAGAACCTAACAGGCAAAATCACAAAATTTTGTAGTGGCTATTCGATTTCTTCTTAGCTTTTTGACATTTGTATCGTGGGAAGCTTGGGAACTGAGATGAACTGAACCCCAGTACTACTGATACTGATATATTATGATACATTACTTCCCTTCTTTGTTTGCTTTAAGCATTGGGAATCAGAGTTGGCTCTTCTTTTGCATTAAATTGCTCCTCTGGCAACTTCCTATTACTCCGTTTCAGTGCAATTGTGTGAAATTCTGCCTTCATGTGCACATTTTCGTGAACTAGACACATCTCTTTGGTTATTACATTTCACCAAGATAGTCAAAATACATCAAATCTGCAAAATCTGAACTAATACTCAGTGGCAATTTCCAAGTTGCATGTCACCAATGAACAAATAATCAGTTCTATACTTTTTCTTTTTGAATTCTCCGCATTTCCTTTTGCTTTGGATCCTCTCTTTGCAAATTAATGCTTGCTAATATTATATACCCAAGGCCTTGATGGTCAAGGAGACAGGACCTCTCCGGAGTCTCTGTTGGGTAGCAAACCGGTGGACTGAATCTTGAATCCCAGCGAAGGCCACCAAAAACTGAGCAGCATCTGTCTGGTTCAACAGCTTCTTCACCACCAATTCCAGTGCTTTGTACCTGTTACACATTTTCCATCAGTGATCAGTCTTCTTCTGGGTCCATGAAAATGGAATCCATCCATCCATCCCCTACTGAAAATTTGAGAATTACCCATGGCAGAATGCTTGAAATGAAAACCTTTATTGGTGAAGTAAAACAGGGAAGAGAGAAAGAGACCTGAGACGCTGAGCCTTTGTGATAACTCGGTTGATCTTCTTAAACTCAAACTGCACAGACGCCAAGGCAGTACCCTTGTTGTTAGCTTTTGGGCCAATGAAAGGGAGGTGGAGGATGCAGTTGGCCTGGATCTCTGCCATCTCTTCGTCCAGCACAGCCTCCTCAATGCGTGTTTCATGAATCAGCCGTGACAACACTCTCCCGCTGAATGAAGAAGAAGAGGAAGAGGAGAGTAATCGGAGCAGGAAGAGAATGGCGGAGGGACGCCAATCGCCAAGCCATGTAAGGGAGGCCATCTCCAAGGGAGGTGTCCATTTGGGCATGAGGTGGTGGGCTACCTCCTTGAGCCTGGAGGGAACCATGGCTCTGTTGTAGTGGGCGTCGAATCGTCTCAACTGTTCGTCTATCAACTCCTCCAGTGCCCACCTTGCCTTGAGCCGCTTCTCCAACCGTGCCGCTCGTATCCTCTGCTCTTGCCTCCACTGCCCGTATTTCTCCCCTGACATGGCACACACCATTCATCAGAAAGATATATATATATATATATATATATATAGAGAGAGAGAGAGAGAGAGAGAGAGAGAGAGAGAGAGACAGAGTGAATAATTCATTGGGTAGCTTTAAATTTCTTAATAAAGAACGAATTTCCAGTCAAGAAAGGATTAAGTTCTTGGTTTTCCGGCCTAGAAAGATTAACATTTTCCGGCAAGAAAAGTGAGGGATTGTGGTGGGGAAAGAAAAGAAAGAAGGAAAAAAGAAGACTATATGTGGGTTTAATTGTTTGGGTGGAAATCTTTGCAGCAGAGAACTGAGAGGGAAAGGAGGTGAAGAAAGAAAGAAAGAGGCTGAGAAGGAACGTGGATGGATGTTTACAGTTGAATACCTCGTTTGGAGACGTCGCACTTAGAGAGGCTCATACACTTAAACCGCTCTGCTATATCATCTATTCCATCTGCTTCTTCTTCAACTTCTATTCTTTCTTCATCGTCTTCACTCCCTTGATGAAATTTCCTGCAAAACAAATCCGATTAACGATTACTCTTCAGGTTCAGGAAAACACAACGAAAAAGAAAGGAAGAGATCGTACATGAGAGGTTGTGACTCTGCTCTCTTCATTGCGCTTCTTCTTCTTCGTTCTTCTCTCGCTTTGTCACCCGAAAAACCGTAAAATGGTGAATGGAAGAGGTGAGGAGCGGGAAAACATATATATTAGAAACCGAGACGTGAAGGGATAATTTGGTCACTTGCAAAATCTGAATCCGCAAGAATATACCGTCACAGTGAGGTGCCTGTAATTAGCCTGGAAAATCGGGTCGGATCGGTAGAAGGCCCAAACACTAAATATTCAGATTTGGGTTGACTCACGGGTAATACGGATCAATGGATCAACCGCATGGGTGAGCTAGTTTTTGACCAAATCAACGTTTTCTTACAAAAAAACATCTTTATCTATCCAATTCACATGGGTCGAGTAATTCAAAATTTCGGATATCGGATCAATTCCAGTTTGAAAAGAGGTGACCCACGGCCCAATCGAACCCAAATTCTTTTCGGGTCAGGTCGGGTCAAGTTGCCTTATAGTTCGGTTTGTTAGATAGGACTAGGAGACCCTAGCCCTCTTTTTTAGGGTTGGGTCAAGTCGCGTTTGTGCCTTTGTGGGTTGGGTCGATTTTTTCAGGTCCATTTGTAATTGTACTTGATCAAACTTTAATTATTTTCGGGTCGGGTCAGGGGCGTACTCCTTCCGGTTTGTATTGCTAGATAGAGACCCTAACCCATTTTTCTATTACTAGGACAGGTTGGATTCGCGGGCTGGGTCAAAATTTTCCATGTCCATTTGTAATTGTAATCGATCAAATACAGGTCTGTTTGGATTTTTGCGGAGACCAAACATCCTAAATTGCTTATTTTTCAAAAAAAAAAAAAAAAACATGAAGAATGCTCAAAGGAAAAAACTTTTAATTCTCATACATGAGGTTTAGTTACTTCAAAATTAAATCATCAAAATATAAAAATAAAAATAAAAACTCTCTTATCTTAATTGTTTCTAATAAAATTTAAATCCATTATTGCTTGACCTTTATAACGGTGACAATAGTTCCGAATTTAGTAATATGTGGGAACTTTGGGTACTCACAAATCAAAAAGAAGTTTTATTAGGCTTTGCAATATCTAGTAAGAAACTATGAGTGGCTGGTTGAGATTGAAATGAATCTGACTTCTAATTTCAGAGTTAGAAAGCACAAACAAGCAATCTTGTATATTAAATTACTAACCATAGTAAGCAAGATAAATAATTATGGTCCTACACTCCTTAGTCCGAATCTCCTACTCACATGGCACTACAACTATTGTAACATGTAAATACAGAAGAGATTGGAACTCTACACTCCTACCCCTCACTCAAATATACTCTCTTGGCATAAATTCCAATATTAAAAGCTTTTAATGTTTGGTAAGGTAGACAGAATGGATGGTCCTTTATAAGTTGAAATGTTGAACGAATAAGAATGATTTGGGCATGCCACATTTGGGTAATTTATTTTGATATGGGCACACCATGACTGGTTTAATCTGATATGGGCACACCACATTTTGCATCCTATTATGTGCATAGGGTATTGATGGAAACATGAAGAATACTTTATTATTTGGGTTAGGGCTGCAAATAGATGATAGGTAAACCCAAATTTGATTTATTGATATTCGAGATTGAACGGGATCTTATCTATTGGAGGCCTTCTCTTTCAGGCAAATAACAGTCTTTTTTTTTTAAGAAAGAGTATCAAAAGGTTAATGGTAATTTCCACTACCATTGATATTTGAAGAGTGGTTATTTCCACTCCAAAATAGAAACTTTTTTTTTTCAGGCATGTGTCCACTCACTCTCAAAAAAATTAAAGAAAAAAAAATGAACTTCAAATGGTAATCACCTCTACTCTCAAAAAGGTTAATGGTAATTAACTTCACTAAAAAAACTCATGTCAAATAATGTCATAGGATCCATAAAATGGGTTATTGTTTATAAGCAAATTTTGATTTCAACTCTTAAATTAAATAACAAATCTACATCTAAAAAGTATCAAATAAAAAACTAACCTAAATTTACAATATAAATAATGGCAATCAAACAAAATTGATTAGAATACAAATTCCATACTTAGTACAAGATGGTCATGGTCATTCTCTGGTACATATTGTGATAATTTATATGGAGTGTGAACTACTAAAAAATTAATTTGAAGAGAAAGCTAAAAGAGTGCTATCAGGATCTAAAATCTGGAATGGCAATGGGGGTGGGGATCACATTCCCCATCCACGACCCTGATTTAGAGATAAATCCTCGTCCCCGAGCTTGATCTTTGCCAGAGATAAAAATTGTCCTCCATCCCCAATCCCCAACAGAGGTGGATTCTCCATGGGACCCGAATCCTCAAAATTTTTAATCAACATAATTTTTGAAAAATAAAATTACTTAAAATAAAAGAAAACTTTAAAATATAAATAATATTTTAAACATATTTTGATATATCATTGGGGTTGGGGTAGGGTACGGACTTCATTCCCCATCCCCAACCTCGACCCCAGCCCCAATCGGGGATTCCTATTAATCCCCATCCCCATCCCTACCCTAACAAAACAATCCCCATCCTCAACCCCATTAGGTTGAGGAGGTCGGGCATTGGCGATCAATGATAGAGACAATTGCCATCCCTAGTCCAAGAACTAGAACCAACCAACCTACTTCTCTTCAAGTTTATTTCTTGAAAACAATAACTAATAATATGTTTTTATCCCATCTTAGCCATCGATAGAAAGTGAACTAGACATTATCATTAGGCGTGTCAACAATATTTGAAAATCCGATTTCAAATTCGAGATGCAGCATAATCGAAGTGAATTCGGATAGATCAAATGTCGTAATTGGTCAAATTAGGATATCCTATTCATACCGGTTAGCTAATCGAATTTGAACTCAGATATGACTTGATTCAATTCAATAAATATTTGAATTCGATCAATTATTTAATTCTTATATTGCAAAATGAGGAGGTTGAGTGCAAGACTCTTAATCGGCCGCTTCTATGATAGCTCCAATGGATGACTCTTTAAAACACTAATGATTCCAAGAGAGGAACAAGGCTGAAATGTTCCATAACAAAAGAACCACTAAGGAATTAGTGAGTTGAGTTGGTTGGCAAATTAATTAGTTACAATAAAGAGGAAAGGTTGAAGGAGTCACTCTATTCGTACTCTATAACATAATTTGTCACACCTAAAGTGTTGATTGAAGTCCAACAAACATTACCATGAACACTAATCTCACCTCGATGCTCAGGCTGTCCATTTATTCTTGTAATTTTGAATCTTGTGGGGTATTGTTGGAGGGAGATTCAAAATTTGCAGAATCTCACCTCCTTCCTCTTTGCTTTTGCTTTTTGTCTTTTCTCTCTTCTCTCTTGCATGTGGGTGAAAAGCTCTTGTTCCACATTGCTTGGGAAAGATATGACTTGATTATAATAGTAGACTTGCTTCCTCTATGCGTAGGGATCCATAGGAGGAAAGCACTATATACCACTACATGCATGTGAGGGGGGGGGGGGGGGGGGGGGGTTCTTCCTACACAAGTGCACGTTGATCTGAGCCGTGTTGGGTCAAGTCGGGTCACGGGTGTGGGTGTGTACGCGCGTGCCACACCATAATGTTTTATCCTTTAACTGTTTTAACCGATTTAACTTTTGAAATTTAATTTAATTTTTTAAACGTCTTTCTTTTTGGTGGCTTTTGAATTTGTGTATTTTCAAATAGGTGCACTATTTTGAAGAGACACTCCTCTGAAAAGACACATTTGTATGCCTATTTGGGTGACTGAGAGCACTCTATAGTGCTGGTCAACCTAGTGACACATACTAATACACACAACATAGTTTTATTTTCTCTGTCATTTGTCAATCTTTGAGCATTATCTATAAGTGGTTTGTGGAGGTCTGGAAAGTGAGTGCACGCCTAGCAGAAGCCTATGGGCTGTTTTATCTTGGTGACTGATTTGCATTCACCCGGCTGTTCCATATGGGGCAAATGCAGTTTTAAGGAGAGTGACCAAGTGGCATGACTCAGCCCTCCTATTCACTATAATTCTCACTTTCTCAACAATGGTTCTACAACAATGCTGTACTTCGGGTTCGGAAAGCGTTGACTGATAAGTTCCATTCTACCTTCCGTTTATTATTTTTTACAACAATAATCCGACAAGTTGGGCCATGCTTAATGGTGCTTGTTGATGCGTTTAATATATGCGACATGGACGAAGATGGGTATATATCAGCAAACGTACTCAGTAAAGCACTAGAGGTGATCTTTGGGAGTCGATTTTCTAAGGTGTAGAGCCAGAAGATGCTGGGAGGAAGAGAGTTCCTCTGTTTCCAAGGTTTCTTCCACATGATGATTGTATCTGTAACACAGGTATTATCTTCTTCTTCTTTGTTTCAATTGCTCCATTTAGGTGTTATATGTTTGAGCTAATATATAATACATTCATTTACTTTTTCCCTCTTCAAATTCTTGGGCAAAAGCTGGAACAAGAAACAACTATTCTGATTTCTGATACCAAGAGCCTTCAGCCCCAACAAGGTGATTGATCAGTTTGACATTCTCTTGCTTATGGGCAGTACTTCATTGATCATTCCTGTATACTGTTTCTTTTCCTATGCCAATCAACCGTAGACAGCCTTTTGGCTGCGTACTTCATTGTTGTTTAGATTAGTGTACACAGTATAAACTGCATTAAGAAATTAATGCTCTGGGAATTCTTCCTTAAGCCTTAGAAGCTTTGCATATAAATTGGCGTTCTTCATACAATCTTTTTCAAACACAAAGTAACTAAACCCTCCCCGAGCTTCCAATGCTCTCTCATGCTGCAGAGAGAAAATTTCCAAAGCATTCGGGGAAAAAATGCATTAAAATGATACGACAAAAAGGGAATAAAAAGCATGCGAAACAAAATGTTATTAGTAACAGCAAGTTATCTACTACAGTGGATCATTATACCAATCAAGAGAAATTGATTGCTGTTGATGTACAATACACACTAGTAAGTTAAAAAGGATTTCATGTCAGATGGATAGTTTCAATTTACATGGTCAAAGACTCAAAGCCATTGCTGTCAGACCAATAGAATTATATTATTTGATTGCATTTCTAATAATAATATCTAAGGCTGCATTTGGCATTCCTTATTTTAAGGTATTTCTTATGGAAGGGATCTTATACCTGCCATTAAACTTTATCTGGGATTCTTCACAGCTTACATAGGTATTTCTTATGGAAGGGATGGGAGGAGGAGAAGAAACTTTATCTGGTTAATTGGAAGAATAAGGAGTGGAGGGTTGGGGATAATGAGATTGAAGAATGTGAATAAACATCTTCTAAGAAAATGGTTTTGGAGATTTGGTGAATAGGAGGATGAACAATGGAAGAGGGTAATTGAGGTTTAAGTATGGTGTGAGAAATATGGGTTGGGACTTGGGAGACTGGAGCTGCTTTTCAAACATATGGCTACTGGAGGGATTGTTGGGAATATTGTATGGAAGCAAGAGCAGCTGACTACATGCAGGTTCAGAATGGGAATATTGTATGGAAACCTCAATTTAGAAGGAATGTTAAATGATTGGGAATTAGATCCTATGACAGAATTATTGTAGCTCCTTTATGGCAACTAGGTTGACTTTAACAGAGCAGACAAATGGGTATGGGTTTGGGAACGGACTGATAAATACTCAGGCAGCTCTATATGCAGTTATTTGGCTAGATCCAATAATCAACAAGAGCATCCCTTCCAAAGTTGCATTCTTTAACAAAATTTTCTAATTCAAATTTAATTTATATGACTCTTAATTAATCATCACATTTAAATATACAATTAAATAGTATATTAAATGCAGTTTAAATTCGAATTTGAATTTGACATGTCACTAAATTTGTCTATTAAAAAGTATAAACATAAGGACAAAGGGATTTGCACCTTAGTCATTAACTTAAAATGACTACACGTCCACCACTATGCCATACCTTAAGTGTTTATAATATTAATATGTATTTTAATTCTTAATTAAAATCACTTTTTAATGAATGGATATCAATGTTTAGAGAACCAGATCAGGCATGAACCCAGAAAAGCGAGAAATTCAGAGTTAGAAGATTAACTAGGGTCGAATTGTGATCACGAAATATATATACTATAAATTATATATTTGATTATAATATATTAAAAAATCAAAATATATAATTATATTCTTCTATAGCGTATGTAGACGTATGCATACATACACACACATATTATTTTCATGGGGTGGGGAGTGCTCTCCCGATCTGAGTCTGGATCTTCTACCAACATAATTTCTTCCAACCACCTACCAACAACACTGGGTGGAGACACGTGTCCCAATACACACTTTCATCCTTCCCATTTTAATCTCCCACCTGAACATTGCCAAAACCCATTTTAATCTCTCACTTGAACATTGCCAAAACCCTACCACATGAACCATTCCCCTCATCTTTACTCCACTGACGGCTATCATTCTTAGCCGCGACAATTTCATTAACGCTTTGTGCTGCTTTTTTGTGCTTTTAGTGGGGAAAGAGATCAAGAGAGAAAAAGAGAGATAAGTATCCTATACTTTGGGGTAGTGATAGATAGACCTGATCATAAGCTGGGCTCAGGCTTGATTTTTGTCAAAATTTTAATGGGCCCAGCCCGAAGCCCGAAGCCCGAAGCCCAAGCCCTAGACAGTGTAAAGTTAGGCCCAAAGTCCGGGCCATGAACAGGTCTAGTGACAGATAGGTACCTTGTACTTTGGGGTAGTGACAGATAGGTACCTTGAACTTTCAATTGCAACACTTGAGTACCTTGAACTCTCAAAAATAGACACTTAGGTCTAGTTGTTAGTATTCTATCACTTAAATATTACATAATGTCAAGAGTACCCTTCTCATGTATTTATGAGATTATTCTTAGGTTATCAAACGTCTCCCCAAGGTGATGTTCTCATATGGACAGTAAATAATACATTCAAACTTTTCAATGACGGTATTCTTTGGTAATGATTTTACTCCATAGAATGATCTAAAAAATACATGAGAAGGGTGTTTTTGACATTATGTAATGTTTAGTTGACGGAATACTAACAGATGGGCCCAAATGTCTATTTTTGAGAGTTAAGAGTAGTTAAATGTTACTATTGAAATTGAAAGTTCATGGCTATCAATGGGTCAGGTTGGAATTGATGGACCTGAACCGATTGGGTCGGTTTTGGTTCCAGTTCTTGATATATTGTCCTAATTTTTATCGGATCGAAAGTGGTTCCACCCAGTCCTGAACCGATTTAGACCCAACCCAACCTATATATATTAAATAAATTAATATTATATAATATTTTTGATAAATTTATTTTAATTTGATCCATCAAGTCAGACCTGATTGTCCCAAGATCTGATTGGTTCAATTCAATGTCTACAATTACAGACTCTATCAGGTCCGGTTTGATTTTGGGTCCTTAATAATTCTTGTGAGGTCGGTTCCAGTTCTGCAAAATCACATTGTGAGGCCTAACTTGCAAGTACGATCAGGTCTATCAATGGGCCGGGTCTGACCCAATAGACTCAAACCGATTAGACCGGTTCTGGTTCCAGAATTTGTCCCGATGGATCGGTTCTAGTTCCAAATATATTTTCCCAATTATTGTTGGGTCGAAACCGGGTCAACCATGTCCCGAACCGATTAGGCCCCGAATTGAGTCTATTTATAATTATATATGTATTATTAAATATATAATAATTAATAATTAATAAATTATATACCTGTTGTAATATTGAAACAAAATATGTTTAAAATGATCATTTAGGCAGGGTTTCTTTCAAAACCCTACCAAAATGCCATTTCGCATATGCTTGCCCCTTCCATTTCTTCCCATCGAAAGGCAAAGTCTGAAACTTGGGAAAAAAGAGAGAAAGGCCGAGCGCCCTCCGACGCCAACAACGAATTGTGATTCTGTGAACAGAGAAAGACCGACGCTGAACAGAGAATGAAAGGCCGACGCCGTCCGTCCATTCGTCTGTCAACAATCTCTCATGGTTTAGGCCTCACCATTGTTTTCTCCTCACAGAGGCACAAAGTCAGTGAGTCACAACACAGGTATGTATTTCTCTCTCTGCCATTGTTCATAGTTTCATATGATACCAATAGTGCCCTTTTCTCCTTCGATTTCTTCTGAGGAAAACAGGGACCCCACTCCATTTTGATCATCCTCCCATTCTTATTTTATTTCAAGAAAAACAATAGGGTTTCTCCCACTTTCTCTTGGTCATCCCCACATTTCTTCTTCTTGTTCTACATATTTTAATTTATGATTCCATCCCCATTTTAGCTCATTAATCTTCAAAATGTAAATAGAAAGTTGATAGTTAATAATTTACTATTAAAAATTTATGCGCACTTAAAATTGGATTATCTTTGTTAGTTTAATAATAGGGATATTATTATCCTTTTTCTTTTCAAAATAATTATTATAATTGGATTATCGGATTGAACCCGATTATTCCAAGAACCGATCCATTTGATTCTAAGTCCCAAAACTACAGACCTTATAGGCTGTTTTTGGTTTGAAGGAAAAAATAGGGAAAAGAAGGAAAAGGCAGGAAATCTTTACAAACCGTGTATAGATTTCCTTACATTTTCTTTCCTTTCCCTACTTTTTCTTTCAAACCAAACATAGCCTATAGGATTTGGGCCGATTCCGGGTCCATGATTTTTTTTTTTTCGATTCGGAACTGGTTCTATCAGGTTTCGACCTATAACCGACCCGTTGACAGTCCTACRTATGATGCGCTGTGCCATGCGAGCTTTGACATCGAAAGCAGGAAATCCCGTTGACCACGTTGGACAAGTGGTGAATATAAATGGRCTCAGCATTTACGAGTTATGACTGAATACTGTATTAACACCTTCCATTGACTTTGGTCTCACCATCATTCTTCCCTTTTGCTCGATATGGGTTGTTTCTCTTCGAAAGCCATCAAAGAATCTCCCAAGAACCAACGTCGGGGCATGCAAGACTCCGGCGAACCTTCATCTCATAAAACATGCCGCCGGAGATATAGATTTGGATTTTAGAATCATGGAATTGGAGGAGGATAGCCTGTTGAGCAAGGATTAGGCATGATTGACAGTTGTAGCGGCTTCCCATATATAATCAATCAATACTGAAATAAAGTGATATTGGACGATTAAACTCATCTTCTCTCCTTCTTTGGTGATCTTGTGATTGCTGAAACCCTCTTTGAGCGGTGCTTCAGCACTACAGCTCGAGGGCAGATACAAACTTGTTCCGGCAACGGRAAGGGTTAGTATCATTTGGTATCAGAGCCAGCTGATCCATGGATGCACGGATGGCAAGCCTTGAAGCTCGTCTCAGCTGCATCGAGAAGAACCAGGAGAGAAACCTCGTTCGCCTGGCAGAGATTGAACACAGGATCAACCAACTCTCACCTTCGATTGGTGTTTCAGAGGTACACAACCGACGAAGCTTCCCTCATCATCTTAGCACCTTCACAAGTACTATTCTCTCCATCTCTCTCATCTTCCTTGTCACCACCTATTTGCAGTCCTTTTACAACACCAGTAATGGTGCTTGGTGTTCCCGGGCCGCCCTGGAGTTTCCTATCCTCCTCTGTTTCTAGTGTCAAAACACCTAGTTTCCTCTGGGCATAACCCAAAACCCTACTTCGCATCCATCGGTGGCATAAACTCTAGCCCTACGTCCCATTCCTTCTTCCTCTTCCCACCAGGTACCAACACCAATCCTGGACCCAACTCAAACTGCTCACTCTTCGTCCCTCTCTTGTCTTGCTTTCTCTGGGGAAGRCATCCTCTGAACTCACTCTATCACTCAATCCGAGTTTTYGCTTTCAAGAAGGTTCAGTTTAATTGAATTAAATACAGGGTGAAGCGTAATGACAATTGACAAGCCGCCAATGGAGATGGTGCCACTATCTCCCTATTGCAACTATGAGCACAAGCACATTGTTATGGGTAGATTCAGTGATCTGGGTGCCCTCGTCAAGCTATTCTGGTGTGGATGYATGTTAGTTCTCAAGATTTGGTGTCGGAAGCATAAGGGAATTGTTATGAGGGGCATGAGAGACATCATCGTCTCTTCTATGGCAGCATCAACCATGCCCTTAGGTGACCTTGGTCATGGTCATTGCATTGAGAAAGCTGCCAAGATCACACAAGTGTGGTTTTCTGCAACCGAATGATCAATAASTTGAAGGGAGAAGGCCATGCAAGTTCAACCACTGAAACAATTGAAGAAATGAAATTCAGTGACATTGTCTTGCAGAACTTGGTAATGGCTGATTACGTTTGTCGTGGGTTTCCAGAGCTGGTCCGTGACCTCTTCAATGATATGGATTATGGAGGCCCAAAAGAAAGGACACTCTCCTACTTTTCTGATTTAGTTATTTGCATTAATTGAGGGTGTTCARCAATGTGGGATGGGGGTTTTCATGGGTTCTACCATCTGGCTCTATTGGATGGATGTAGTGCCAAGATTCCACTTGAGAATGAAACTAAGTAGCACTTGGTGCTTACTATTCATGGTGATCCAAGGTCAGATCACCATCTGTGAGGATGCAATTGCATGGGAACCAAACAAGCCATTAATGAGCATAGACATGCAGGTGACTTCGTCTTKGGCCAGTGAAGTCCGAATGAAGGTGTACCCTCTGCTACTCTCTTTWATACCAACTCTTATATTTGGAGTGGCACACATCCTGAGGATCTCTTCCCTTGCATCTTTGGTCACGTGGATACAATAATTGTTGAAGGTGTTGGTGGAGGTGTGAGTCATGTAACTGAAGTTCAACATGGTGACGATGTTATATTCTGTTACACTGTAGAGTTTAGAGAATGCAAGTTTTGTAAGTCAGAGAAGATAAAACTCCACAGCAAGGTACAGGAAACTGTTGGAGTTGGAGTTATGTTAGGTGACGGGAAAGGTCGTTCCTCAATG